CGGACACTTTGCTTTTTGAAATACATTCTGCTCTGCACTTTGTTTTTGACAGTTTTAGCTTAGTGCGCTTTTTAAATTTTTTAAGGCTTGCAGTTCACGTTGCTTTGGAAAAAAGTACTCAAGTGCACAAATCCACTTTGGAAAAACCTCTATTAAAAACACTGTGTGCGAGGCTTGCGTATTCATTCTCTCTTCATTCTTGCTACCCTCACCCTCACCCTCACCACATAAAACAACTTTTTACAAAGTGCGTCGCAGCAAAAACTGACAAAAACTTAGTGCATTTCAAAAAGCAAAGTGCAACTGCACTTTGCTTCCGCTTGATTAGCTAAACATTAAAACCCTACTTTCACAGGAGGCTCTTGTATGTTTCTCATACTTTGGCCAAGTCAAGGCTGAAAAAAAGAAAAGAAAACGGCTGTAATGGCTGATATCCAGCGCTCTAGAAAGCATAGAAAAATCAGCCTTTGAGACTCTTCATCGAATTTTATGGAAATTTCCGGTGACTTTCTGGCCGGTTCCGGCTGGACCGCGTCGAAACGTAACGAAACCGATCAGCTAAACTCCGACCGGAATCCATCCGCAAGGAAATCGCCGGAACCCAACGAAACCGGTCGGTTCCTATCGAGCATAAAAGACCGGGGTAGGCAACAGTCTTGGATCGACTGATAAATTGCTTGCGTATGTCTCTTATAATCATCTGGCTGCTACCACAGATCATGAACCTAACGTTTTGAGTGATGCAACACTATTCTCTATTATGTCCTCTTTCCTTACGCCAGTCACTCTGATACGTCTGATCGATTTTTTTCGCGCAGTTTCGAAGAAATTCTTTCTTTCTCGTGTGTCCGTCGTACGATATGTTTAATCCCTCTCCATCTCGTTGCGTTATCGTTTTTCTATTGCTCACTCGTGGTGAGCTTAGGTATTAAAATAAAGAACGTGACATATTTATCACCGATACTTCAAGTTGTTTATTTCTTTTGTCGATTGAAACGGCAGCAGCCAGGAAAACCACTCATGAAATCAACAAAATTTACTATGATCCTAAGTCTGACAATGAATTAGGCTCAGAAGTTGAAAACGAATCTGAAACTTCTGACGATAGTGATCTTGATACAGAGAGCGAAATAGCAGCGTCAATGATGAAAATGCTTCTTCGCTTACGAATTCCATCTGTATTTTAAACTTAAATACAACCAACAGAGCCACAAAAAGCACTGAATGTAATGTCGGACTTTGCATTTCATAATGTTTCCGAGATTATCAGAGGGTGAAATACTTTTAGATATTTGTTCTTAAATTGTCTGAATCAATATATCGGTCAGCGGTTCAAAAAATGTTTTTTTTTTCTATCGCCGGTAACCCCATCCTCAAAGTGTTGATCAGAAGAGGTCGAGCCTTAAAAAATCCAAACTCGACTGACAATGGGAAAATTGAACCAAAACTTTTCCACTCTGAATTGTCGATGTTTGCTTCCTATGACCGTTAAATAGACATTTTCTTTCTCATAAGACCTGATAAGTCATCGATTAATATCTGCCATTGCGATAAGATGGGGAGACTCATCGTCATTGCACTGTGTTTGAACTGAGTTAAAACCTGAAATTCTAGCTGAAACGAAGTCGTTTGTTGGTCTAATCGACTTGAGCTGTGATGTGGCTGATAAAAAACAACCTCTAAACCAAATGAATCGATGACGCATTTTGCAAACTGCTACCGTTCGGCTAGGTGTCGTTGTCGTTCGGGCAGAATTTTGTAATAAATGAGACATACGAAAATATGAGTTGTTCTATTGTTTATTTCGTCTCTTTGTTGAGTTCGATCGATTTAAACATTCTTCCGATGGAATCTGTTTTGTGTTCACCAATCAATCGATCCCTTGCTACGATGCATCATCAAACAGACAATAACATTATTCTTTGCTCGTGTGTCACGTCAATTATGACTGAGTCGAGGACATGACGAAGGTGGGAATACGAAAACATATCAAATAAAAGAACAATAAGAACATGATGGTGGAGGCGTCGTCACAATAACATGGTATAAAATCCCGAGTATTTTATTGAGAGTAACTGCAGAAAGAAATCGTTTATACTTCTAAAAATGTCCAGTGATTTTCGTGAAGCATTGTTGGATTATGTTCTTAAGAAAAGTCGTCCGGGAAATGCTACTAGTGTCATCAATGCTATTGACGAATACGGTTGGACTCAAGTAGCAGTCATGAATATTGGCGATACAAAAGGCAAAATTCTCGATGCGGCTCTACAATCTCGACAACCAAAAACAGTCCTTGAACTCGGTAGATTCTCATCCAAATATATCTTCACAATTTCTTTTTTGTTCTTCTAAAAGGTACTTTTCTTGGCTACAGTTCATTGCGCATGGCTTCTCAACTACCCGAAGATACATTGATTGTCACTATCGATGTCGATCCTGCCTCGATAGCTACTGCTCGACGCATTCATGAACATGCTGGTGTTACAAATCGCATACAAATTGTCCTCAATCCAACCTATCAATCTATTCCCTATTTGAGTAAAAAATTCCATATTGATTCATTTGATTTTATCTTCATTGATCATGATAAAGCGGACTATTTAAGTGATTTGAAACTACTCGAAGATGTCGGTTTGATCAAACCCGGTACAATGATTGTTGCTGATAATATTATCTTTCCTGGTGCACCTGACTATGTGAACTATATTCGAAATAATCCACATTATACATCGACGTTTCATGAATCAACTCTCGAATATGACAACAATGTTCGTGATGGAGTCGAAGTTTCAATACGACAATAGAGAAAGCTGCGAGACAACGCTATTCATCTTGTTTTTTCTCTGTAAAATAAAGAATCTTATGCAAAGAAAGAACACAGAAATTTGGATTCAGATTTGTTTCGATTGTAGTCGAGAACATGTCACTCAATGAAGAATGGATTTCTAAGCGGAAGGACTAGGGAAATGTTTGTTTTCTTCATCATACTTCATTGACAAAGATGGTTTATCATCAATATATTTCGCTTTTAAATACGTATGTATAGTAGTTGTCCGTTCGGTCTAGGTTCAGAGCACTTAGAAATGAACAAATTGGTAATGAAGACTACAAAGATTTCATTTCATTTTCCATATTAAAAAAAAGCATTAACCAGTAGTCCGTCTTACAGTTTGTTATTCTGGCTTCGTCAAATTTAGACTTTTAAAGTAACATTTAAACCACACAAAAGATCGATCAGTTCTTGAAAATGATCGGGCTAGTTGTTTGCTTGTCTATTTCTTTGAATAGATTAATTAAAGACGCATAGTCATTTCATTTGCGATATAACACGGAGTTATGGTGAATGTCTTCATCGAAAAAGATCCAAGAATATTCGACAGAAGCGAAGAGGATTTCTGTCAGTGCTTATCTCGAATGCATCAGCCAGATGTCGATCACCATCTGCTCCGATTCGATTCCTGTTTCGTCAGTGTGTGTGACAAAGAACATCCCAAGCAAAAAAATGCCTTTCAGATTATCTAGCTATAAAAATATGTTATCGGGCAATATCGGCTTGTGATAGCTAGCTATCCGTACCACTTTTATTGAGTTAGCTAGCTATATCGAGTATG